GATCTGGATATCTGATTGACCCAGCACCATATGTTGAAAAGGCCTGAACTGCAATGGCAACTTGGTCATTACTCAGGTGACTGTGGAAGTGCAGCTCTATATCCATGAGGGACATTAGTCTACTACTCCCTTTTTAGTAATATCCTTATTGGTGTTTGTTTTAAGATTAGGTTGTTCTCATAAAAAACATTGAAAATGCCCCAGGTTTTCCTAATCTCTTGGAAGGTTTGTATAAGAATGGTGCTACTTGCGTGGAGGAATTCATCAGGAAAGCAATCTAGGCTTGGAGTTTTCTTTGTGGATCAATTTTTTTTTTTTTTTGAGACTGAGTCTTGCTCTGTCACCAGGCTGGAGTGCAGTGGCGCAATCTCGGCTCACTGCAACCTCCACATCCTGGGTTCAAGTGATTCTTTTGCCTCAGCCTCCTGGGACCACAGGCATGTGCCACCACTCCTGGCTAATTTTTTTTGTATTTTTAGTAGAGACAGCGTTTCACCGTGTTGGCCAGGACAGTCTTGATCTCCTGACCTCGTGATCCACCCGCCTCGGCCTCCCAAAGTGCTGGGATTACAGGTGTGAGCCACTGCGCCTGGCCTGTGGATGAATTTTAATTATTGATTCTGTTTCTTTAATAGATATGGAACCATTCATATTTTAATTTTTTGATATTTGTTAAATTGTATTTTGCAAGGAATTTATCAATTTCATTTAAATTTTTAAATTTATTGGCATAAAGTTGTCCATAACATTCTCTTATCAACTATTTCATGTCTGATAAATAGTACTGATCTTTTTCATTCCTTGCATTGGTTGTTTGGCCTTTCCCCCTGCCTTGATCAGCCTTGCTAAAGATCTGTCAGTTTTATTAGTTTTGCAGAGTCAGATTTTGGCTTAATTTTCTCTATTGCATTTTCCTCCTATTTCATTGGTGTCTACTCTTTATTATTTTTATTTATCTGCTTCTTTGAATTCAATTTGTTTTTCAGCTTCTTGAGATTGATACTTAAGTAATTTTTAATCTTTTTCCATTTCTAATATTCACATATAATGCTATATACTTTTCTTTAAGAATGAGCCCATGTGTTGAATCCTGCATGAATTGTTGTATTCTATTTTTATTATCACTCAGTTCAAAACTCTCTAATATTCATTGTAATTTCTAGTTTCATGCCTGGTTATTTAGAAGTGTATTGCTTAAATTCCAATTAATTAGCTAAGGGATTTTTTAGTCTTCTTCTTAAATTCTTCTTATTATTTTTTTGGTTAGAATCTCGTACTCAGAGAATTAATTCCTATTTTAATTCCTCTTTAGACCGAGATCATGCTCTTTATGATTTCAATTTTTGAATTTGGTGAGACTTACTTTAGGATCCACTTAGGGTTAAGTTTTATAAATTACATATGCACTTGAAGAATGCATATTCTGAAGTTTTTTTTGGGGGGTAGAGATCTATGTATACCAGTGAGCTCAAATTTATAAATTATGTTTTCCAAGTCTTATGGACCTGGAATATTTTCTGCCTACTGATTTGTTTTTTGACTGCTTGTTATATTAGTTAATGTGGTTGTGACTTTGTTTTTCCTTTAAGTTGTTGGATTTTAAAATTTATATATTTTGAGGCTGGTTATTAAGCAAATAAACATTTAGAATTCTTATAGTTTTCTGCTGTCGTGACCCTTTTATCATTATGTAATATCCCTATTTATCTGTCTGTATTATTATAATACTTCTTGTGTTAATAGCTGTATTTTCTGATATTAATATTGCTACCCAGTTATCTTTTGAGTTATATTTTCCGTATTTGCCTTTTTTAAAATTTAATAAGTATTTTTCATTATTCAATTTCTCCCTTTTCTTAGTTGTTAGTTATATACTATTTCATAATTCCTTTAGTGATTACCTAAATGATGGCAATATGCAACCTTGATTTGCTATCGTAAATTCATTATTTTACCACTGCCTGGACAATGGAAGAACATTACAGTTTTTTTTTTTTTTTTTACATGGAGTTTCACTCTTGTTACCCAGGCTGGGGTGCAATGGTGCAATCCAATCTCGGCTCACTGCAACCTCCGCCTCCTGGGTTCAAGCAATTCTCCTGCCTCAGCCTCCTGAGTAGCTGGGACTGCAGGCGTGCGCCACCATGCCCAGCTAATTTTTGGATTTTTAGTAGAGACGGGGTTTCACCATGTTGACCGGGATGGTCTCGATCTCTTGACCTCGTGATCCACCTGCCTTGGCCCCCCAAAGTGCTGCGATTATAGGCGTGAGCCACCGCGCCCAGCCGAACATTATAGTTTCTAAACTCTCTTTGTCAGCCTCTCACCCCCCGAATTCTCTCTATATTTTAGATTTTAGAAGGCATTACTATTACTGTTTTGAATAGTCAGTATTTATCTAGTTTTACTTACATATTTACCTGCAAGAGGGTTCTTCAGGTTTAAAAAATCCAGATGAAATGATGCTGGATTTCCTCTAGCATCATGTTTTTAAACCTGAAGAACCCTCTTTACTATTTCTTTTGACATGGGTCTGCTGGAAACAATTTACATTAGTTTCCTTTATCTGAAAACATCTTTATTTTGCCTTCATTTCTTAAGGGTATTTCCACTGTGTAAAATTCTGGATCTGTGATTATTTAAAGTATATAAAAGATGTTATTCCATTATTTTCTTGCTTTCGTTGTTTCTTTCGAGAAGTCAGCTTATGTTACTGTTAAAGTTTGATTTGTTTCTCAAGCTATTTTTAAGCTTTTCCTTTTATCAGTTGCTTTCAGCATTTTTACTGAAATTTTCCTAAATCATGAATTTTTTTGTATATGTCCTGTTTGGCATTAACAGTGGTCTTGAATCAGTGGTTGTTTTGTCCGGAAATTTTTAACAGAGTCTCTTCTTACTTCTGTCTCGTTTTCTCAATGGTCCTGAGTCCAATTATTCCATTTACTATGTTAGACCTTTTTAGTTTTTTCATATATCTGTCGTGCTTTTTTTTTTTTTCTTTTGAGACAGGATCTCACTCTGTTGCCCAGGCTGGAGTGCAGTGATCTGATTGCAGCTCATGCAGCCTCGGCCTCCTGGGATCAAGCAATCCTGATTCTCCTGCTTTAGCTTCCTCAATAGCTAGGACTACAAGTGCATACCACCATACTTGACTAATTTTTAAAGTTCTTGTAGAGATGTTGTCTCACTTTGTTGCCCAGGCTAGTCTCAAACTCCTGGGCTCAAGTGATCACCATGCTTGGTCAGTCACACTTTTTTTTTAAAATTCTTTTTCTGTTCATCACTTTTATTATTTATTTGTTTATTTAAATTTTTATAGAAAATCATCAGCAAAACACTCAAGATCAACAATAATAAAGAAAGATTACTTCATTTTTATTTGATTTTTACAGACACTTTTGCCAAGATTACTTAGACTAGTACCTTCTATGACACTCCAACTCTTTGATGAGAGGCAGTAACCACTAATATACATTCTCCTATCTCTTATTTAGAGATGAATTCAGATACATTAAGTTGCAAGTAATTTTATGCTTAAGGCTTGTACAACACTAAAATATGTAGTAATAGTAGTCACACAAACTTATGAGTGAGTTTATGATATGGTTTGTATCTGTGTCCCTGCCCAAATCTCATGTCAAATTCTAATCCCCAGTGTTGGAGGAGGGGCCTGGTGGAAGGTGATTGGATTATGGGGCAGAGTTCTCCTGAGTGGTTTGACACCATCTGTGCCTTGGCACTGTATAGTGATTGAGTTATCATGAGATCTGGGTTTTTAAAAGTATGTGGCACCTCCCTGCCCCCTCTCTCTTCCTCCTACTGTAGCCGTGTGATATTTGCACTCCCCCTTCCCCTTCTGCCACAATTATCTGTTTCCTGAGGCCTCCCCAGGAGTGGAGCAGATGCCAGCATCATGCTTCCTGTACAGCCTGTGGAACCATGAGCCAATTAAACCCCTTTTCTTTATTATAAGTTACCTAGTCTCAGGTATATCATTATAGCAATGTGACAGTAGACTACGACAGCTTACCTATGAATGTTTTATAAATTTATGGGTATGCTTTTTGTTTGTAACAATGATTAAGAAGGTGAGAGCATTCCTTGTCTTTATTGGACTGGCGCTAGGGATGCTATGTAGTCTGCAAAGCAAGGGACAGTTCCTTACAAGGGATCGATAGTTATGCTTCTTACAGGACTTTCAACAGCTTGCTGGAATATTCATGTAGGTGACATGCTGTAATAATGATCTTACCTTATACTCTTACTACCTTTTACACATAAACCCCAAAATATATATTTTAAATCTGTTAGGTAGAGATTGAATTCTCCACGGATAGTGCACAGAGGGTATATTCTGCTTTGTTTGTTTGGAACTTTATGGAGAATTAGCCACAATTTCAGAAAATCACACCAGCTGTCTTACTCTGCCTATGCTATGATTGCTACTTATACAACTGATATTTTGTTAGCAATGAGGCACATAATCTGAATATGTGTTTGAGGAAATTCTACACAGATAGATGCAAGCATCTGATCACTTCATTGGTCTTCTGCATTTCATAAGGAAAAAATATTACTTTATTATAAATTACTTCCCTTCATTTTTTCCTTAAAGTTGAAGCATCATCGTGTATCTTGATTTAAAAAATTATATCTGTATGCATGTGATATTAGGTACTAATTTTAGCTGAAGATTATAATTTCATTTCAGATTTCTGTTATTAAACGGAAGGTCTGGAATCGGAGGTTGAGATTAACTGGATAACACAATATTTGCTAAAATTTACTTGAAATCACAGAAAAGACCCAACACAAAGAGACCTCTTTATTACTATTATTTATTTATTATTTCTACTATTCTTTTAAAAAATTACTATCGTTACACACAGCGGTTTTAGGCACTATCAAGCGTTCATTGCCTGTGCGCTGGGAACCTTTGCGCCCGTCTTCAGAAGTGCTCTTAGGCAGACACCGGCGAGACACGGACCGGAACTTTGGCGCTGTGACGCTAGTTTCCGGCGGGCTGCTTAGAGCGCAGAACAGCTTTGGGCCAAAGGACCATGAGAGGGCCGGAGGCGGCTCCTGAACCAACGATGGAGGGAGACGTGCTGGACACACTGGAGGCGCTGGGGTGAGGGCTTTTGGAGACGCCTTTTTCCTGAAAACGTAACCTCTCCTTCGGCCTGGCTGCTTAGCCTACTTCCCTTGGGCCTCTGTCGGCCTGGGCGGCCATGTGTAGGCCTCCTTCCCTGCCTGGATTCCTCCGGCGCCGACGGAGTTAAGCGGGAGGCGGGAGAGAAATCTACTTGGGGGGTGGAGCAGGGCCGGAGAGCTGGGGTTCGTGGCCCCCTCTTCCAAACTTCTTGCCTCGAAACTCTGTTGGAGGAATCTGCGGCGTGGCGTGGAGCGGCCCTGCTAGCACCGGTTTTCTGGGCGATCCCGCGGCCGCGGGTGATATTTGTGTTGACGTAGTTGTGGCGCCCGGAGGGAGGTGCTGGAACCTGAACTGCTGTTAAGGACTGTTGGCTGCTACAGTGTACAACTTGTGGCTTACTTGGGGGCTGGAGTGAAGGGCTTCTACTTTGACCGCAGAAAGTGTTTTAGTTCATTGCGAGTTCATACATTCAACCATTTCATCCGTTCGTCAATATATATATTAGATTGTGTATTCATTTATGCATATTTACGTTTGTAAATTTCCCCAAGGCAGGGGAAAAAGACAGTTTTCAGATTACTCTAGGCTTACATAGTCGTGCAGGCTACAAGTCTGCTGCCGAGTAGAATTTACAATGCAGGTTGGTAAGTGCTGTGAGAACTCTCAGGTGGAGGTGGGGGTAATTTTAATACTAGCAGGTGTGGTGGTTCGTAATCTCACCCTCAACCTCATCCTGTTTTTCCACACAGCCCTTGTTCCTGCCCAAATTATCATTCCCTGCCCATTGATTTGTCTCTTGAATTTTCCTTCTCCCACGTTTTATTCTTCCTCCTCCCCAGGTCAGCTCCTGGAAAATTGATGCTTTCCATATTTTATTCACTAATGTATTCTCACCAACACTCTAGAATGGAGTCTCTTAAAGTAAATAGTGGTTGAAAGAATGAGTAAATGAATGAAGCAGAGCATAGAGAGGCGACTCCACAGCATTAAGTATAGGACCAGATAGTTTACTCAAACAGTGCACATTAAATAAAGAGCTTGGAGCCATCTGCACATGTGTTTGCCCTGCTACATGCTGTTGTTTCTTGATAGGGAAAGCTATGCCTTTGCAGTGTTTTTATGAAGCAAGCTTCATAAAATAAAACCAATCCCACACTCCATTTTTATTTTTTCTAAAACTGCATTTGCCCCTCTATGATCTGTTTCTTTAGTTGGACCCTTATAATATTTACTTTACAGTGACCCAGTGTTTGAGAGTCTTGTACTTAGTAGATGGTGAATATATATAAAGAACAGTGCCATTGATTATTTAGGGGGCACTTTTACTTCTGTGAAATCACTTGGAAATTCTCACTTAACTTGGTTAAGATGGAACCAAAACAAGAACTGAAAATACTTAGTAGAATTATTTAGGCTCCAAACAGTTTGAGCTCCCAAGTACTTCAGGTAAGAGTATTGGGATCTCATAAATGGATTAGGAAAAAGGAAAAGGCAGTGCTTTTCTTTTTTCTTCATTTCTTGAACTTATTGTTCATATTATAGGTGGTTTGGAAAATTCATTGCTATAATCTTGATTTTTATCAAGGAAAATTAGTTTCACATTATTCAACATGGAAAGTAAAACAGTTGACACACTCTGAAATTAGTTTTTCTTGGAATAACTATGAGGGCAAAATTTTGAAGTTTGAATTCCCTGTGATAATAAGATGTGAAAAAGGTAGTTATTTGCAGTATGTGTTGTAATGGGATACTGTTTTCAAATATCCATGTATATAGTGAATAACGTATTTTTGTTGTAAGATATTTAGGATATAAGTGAAGGTACTTGAGTTTGTCATGTAAAATAAATTAATGAGAAGCATTTAAAGGGAAAATATATGAAAGGACAATTTAGTGATACAGGTGAAAACAGGCTAGGCTAGGAGTCAATCAGTTTTCTCATCGGTGAAAAGAGCAGGCTGGAGTAGATGATTTTAGAAGTCTCTTTCTGTTCTGATAGTCTCTGATTTTGTGGAATAGTAGATCTCAACGCTGGAAGTACACAGAATTGTGTGGAACCTGTGAAAACTGTTCCAGCCTGGTATATACCACAGACTGATTGAATCATAATTTTCAGAGATATAGTACAGACCTGTATATTTTTAAAAAGATCCACAGCCTTGGTTGAGAAACACTATTATGGAGAGAAGTTTCCTTTAAATATTTGTTGAACACAGCTGTATATTGGATCTTGTTCTGAGGAGTCAGTGGTGAGCAAAATAGACTTGATTTCTGCCCCTGTGTAATTTACAGTCTAGTTGAGAAACAAACATGATCACAAAAATAATTATAAGCTATAATAAATGTGTCAAAGGAAAAGAACAGGGTGATATAACAGGAGGATCTAAGAAGTCTTAGGGGTTAGTGATAGATTCCTGAGGAAGTGACATTTGAGTTGAAATAGGAAGAGTGAATAGAAGTTAACTAGTTTAGGCTGCATGGATGAAAAAGGGGGACAAAGACACCCTTAGAGTGAGAAGAAAATGTGAAGACCTTGAAGTGGGAAGGAGCTTGATATATTAGAAGAACTAGAAGTAGGCTAATGTAGTTGGAAGGCAAAATGTGAGGGGTAGAGTGGTGGGAAATTGGATTTAAGAGTTAGGTGAAAATCAGGACATGAAGCCCCTTTTAGTCTGTGTTGTGGATTTTATTCTTGATCATAACAGCAATGGGATGTGACTGAAGAATTTTAAATAAAAAGGGAGTGATTTGATGTCTAGTCTGAAAGTTACGTCAGTCAGCAAGGTGGAAAATGGATTGGAGAATTTAGTTAATAGTCTGGGAAAGAAATGATGGTTGCTTAGTGGCAGTGGTTAAAGAAAAAACTACATTACTGGACTCAGTGGTTGATTGGATGTTAAAATTCAAGGATTCATTTCTCTTTATTTTTAAAAATTTTTAATAGACACAGGGTCTTATGATGTCCAGGCTAGTCTTGAATCCCTAGCCTCAAATGATCCTCCAACTTTGGCTTCCCAAAGTGCTGGGATTACAGGTGTGAGTCACCATACCCCACCAGATTAATTTCTTCAGTTGGTATTTATTGAGCACCAAAATGAAATGATACACCTTAGAATGTAAATTGGATACAGAAGAATGTGAAGATAGGAGAGAGCTGGTAAATAGGTTGAATGCAGAGGGATCAAAGGAATGGAGGTAATGATGATATCAAAGAATAGTTAGTTGTAGGTGAGTGGTCAAAGAAGCAAGCTGGAAGAATAGATAAGAGGCTGTGGTCAGAGAGCCACATGTTTGGATTAGTGATTTTGGAAGTGGAGTAGTTCCAGGTAATGGCAAGAGTGCAAGGGGTGCTGAATGACATGTTGTTGCAGGTTGGAATGGAGAGCTCAGGGTGTGAGATAGGGTATACATACAGACTTTAAAGGAACTCAGTATAATGGCAAGAATAGAGGTAGAGAGGAAAACTGAGCAAAGGGGATGCTGGGGAGTGTCCAAGAGGTAATAGGTGAAAACCACAAGTGAATGGGTGGCAAATTTGAGTGGCCTGTGCCTCAAGAGATCAGGAGATATTTATAAGATAATGGGACAGCAGTGATAATGATGCTGTCTTGGTAAGTACAGAGGACAAAAACCCTACTATCTGATCTTTAGGAATTTGAGAGAATAAAAAGAACTAAAGCTAGAGATGGTAGGGATAATAACCTTTCTTTCTTTCTTTCTTTCTTTTTTTTTTTTTTTTTTTTTTTGAGAAAGAATTTTCCAACAGAGTAAAAATAACAGAAATCAGTAATCTATTCTCTTCCAGGGTGGGAAGAAAACCTCCTTACTCACAGGCTCGAGACTATGGCTAGGTGGTAAAAAGGTTCAAGACTAGAGCTAGAGCTCAGCACCCAACCTTGGGGAGACACAGAAAGGGCCCATGCGAAGCACTTGGCAGGAGGCAAGCATAGCCTTTGGGCCACAAGACCTGATGGCCACTGGGATACTGGCCTGGAAACAAGTCTACATCTTCCCAGAAATGTCTTACTTTTCTCTGCAGCAGCTGGCTAGAGAAAGATTTTGGAAAGGTGTGTACCTGGAGCACCCAAAGGCATACCCGTCCTTTTTCCTTGGCATAGGCCTTATAACACGGAGGAAAGGCCATGGTTTGGCGATGGAATATTCAATAGTCTTCCGTATAGAGCTCAGTGGCTTTTAGGATGGCAGGAGAGTAGATGAGCTACTTTGGGAAGAGTCTAGGTCTTTCAGCTTCTCCCCCACTGAAACACTATATGCTGCGGCTCAGTTCATGGCAGAGCACACACACACACACACATCTCAGAAACCCAACAGCTCGGAAGCAGGTAGCTCTCGGTATTGTTGGTCTGGCATTTGCCTGCTTGGCATCTAAGCTGTCCTAAACCTCTTTCCAATCACTTCTCACTATTTCCAGGCCCATGTGGTGAGGTGCTCCAGCTTCCACTCTGTCTGTCAGATTATCATAAAGGCACAGTGTAGTAAAGACCATCATAAAGGCACGATGTAGTAAAGACCCCTACTGGGATGACCGCTGCTTGGAAGCAGGGAAGGCTATGGGGCCCACACCTACCCAAAACTGGGATAGACATTGTCTGCTCTGCTTCTGAAAGGTTGGGATCAGGTTCAGTAACTCAGTATCTGCCATGTCATCAAACCAGGACTGCACAGGCACTGCATTCTCTGGGTGGAAGATGTAAGAAGCAGACAAGTTGTCCAGGATGAGGATTTTCCTCAGCTTCCTCCCCAGGCAGCTGAGGTTCCTGACTTAGCAGCCCTGGTGGAACACTCAGGACTCATGGAATAAGTGAGCCCAGAACACCCCACCCTGGTCCAGGAGATTTGTCACAGGATCGGCATACTTGGCCAGGTTGGCAGTGAAGAGAACACATTTAAAGAGTTCTTCATTCGTCTCTTTCCACATGAGGCTTCTTGAGCACATACACCTGCTTGATGGCCTC